GTTACAACCGACTTACTCTTCTTCTTCATAAGTGTATGCTAGATATAAAACCTCTATTGAATTTTTAAGAATTATTTTTAATAAATTTGTTTGAAATGTTTTCCATAATTGGGTGCGTAGTTTCTGGAGGTGGAAATCTATGCCGGATCTTCAGGGTGGGAGTCGGGAACCCAAGGGCGAGGCGACTCCCACAGTCAGTTAAGAGAGACGGAATCCTTAAGATAAGCAGTCAGGCAAGAGAACCAGACCCTTCAGAGGTTGTTATCAAGGAAAAGTCAGTCAAGTTAAAAGTTAATTAATATGCGTTCGCTTGAATTATAATATTGGTAACCAACTCTACGGAGTTGATATTGATTTATTCCGACTACTTTCAAAGATATTACTAAAATATATTTACTGGGTGTTGCGCTTTCTATGTCACCCAGTATATTTATTTCATCACGACACAATCATTACCTTAAGCGAACGAAGTTCTTCGCAAGTTTCGCTTAAATTTTGTTAGTATCCCTCAATTGCGAAACAACGGAAATTCTGATTTGTTTTAGGCAGTCATCCGTTTATTCAAAATAAAATAATTTGTTACACAACCACTCTAACCAATTACCGGGAATAAAGGACACAAAAAGCCAAAAATGAAATTCGATTGGCTCGCCGTGCATTTCCGAATTTCGTTTCATTTGTTGATATTAATTATCGGGGTGCTCGTTACGAAACCTATTAAAAGCGTCCTTTTAATTGGCTTTCGGTTAAAAATAGTCAAGATCGATCTAATATATCGCCAAAAGGAGTGAGCAATATTGCCGCGCTGCCGTATTTCTCTAACAACTTTTACAGCATTTTTTATATACTCGTTAAACTACCACACATTATATTGGAATATTAGTAAATAAACTTTCACGTAATGATGTTAGTTTTGGTAAGGTTACCAAAAATATCTCTCCAATCGACGATAGTTCGGATGCGATATGTATTTATTGTACATTTAAATTTCATATTTATCTTTAGGTCACGATTTGTAATTATTTTTTACCTCCTCTAGTGATGTTCGAAAACTTAATTATTTTGATTATTTTTGTCCAAAAAACAAGGCTAATAATGTATATATATTTTTTTTATTGATAACTCTTCTTTTGCAAAAACATAAATATTATGTTCAGTAATATATTTTGAGTTAAATAAACATCTGCTGATGAGGCTAACTTAATGTCTAATTAATTTTCTACTACAGGTTTTAATTTTCGGATATGAGACTCTTATGTTCCATTATAATTGCGAGTTAACTATGACGGCGGTTAACTTATAGTTACCCAAATGTTTGTGACCCTATTTTTATTTTGATAGAACTGAACAACAGAAAGATCGATCACTCAAGTGTTCGAAGTGTTTTCGGAGCGCGAGCATTGAAGAAGTAGAAAATTAATTAGACACTAAGTTAGCCTCATCAGCAGAAGTTTAACTCAAAATATGGTACTGAACATAATATTTATGTTTTTGCAAAAGAAGAGTTATCAATAAAAAAAAAAAGAAATATACATTATTTGCCTGGTTTTGTGAACAAAAATGATCAAAATAATTAATTAATCAATAATTAATTGATAATTATGTATATATATATATATATATATATATATATATATATATATATATATATATATATATATATATATATATATATATATATATATATATATATGTTTTCGGAGCGCGAGCATTGAAGATGCCAAGTGAGATTTTGGCGAAACGTCTGCTCCAGTCGGATGCAGGATTTGCAGGATTCCAGTCGGAGTTCAACGAGCGAACGGATGATATCCCGGAATATAGTGTCATCATATATATATATATATATATATATATATATATATATATATATATATATATATTTCGTCTTCCGAATCGCAACCCTTAAACCCTCACAAAGTGAATAACGAAGTAAAATATTGGAAAGTTGTTTTCTCATTTTCAGAGCTTACTCACCCGCTTGATCACATTAATTTGGCTTGACATTACGGAAAATGGAAGCCGACAGTTAATTTCAGCTAATTTTTGTTGATAAAACATAATTCAATTATAGTCAAATTAAACATTTTAATTTTCTCTCGCAAGAATAATATTAAAAATTCCAAACATTTTGCTTCATAGATTCAATAAAAATTATTAGGAATTTAAGCGCTAGGTGTTGAGAAAAATGAGGACTGGGACTGCCAAAACTAACTAAAACTATTTATGGAGAAAAACCTTTTAAGTATTTGTATAAAACTGAACAAAAGAAACTAAAACTCAAAATAAAATTTTAATTTTAATTAATTCGATTATCCCCAATGAATGAAATGCTAATTTATTATTAAGGTTAAATAACATTTACAATAGCAGTAAACTTACGTCATTTATCTTTACTATTTCTTTACAAATCCTTTTAAGGACAACTGACATTACTCATACGTTTTAATATTCTTACCTGTTCGCATTGCAACATTTACAATTGCCACTTTTCAATTATAAATCTGGTTTAGTCAACCGTCACTAATTAATTAATTAATTAAATGTTAGAAGTTTTGGTAAAGTTTATATTTACAAATTAGTTGTTTTTGCGCACAATAAAAGTCATAAAATCATAAAAAATCAAATTGACCTGATAGCTAAAAAAATTGAAGCTCTGTTCCACGTTACACTTTATGCGGGAAATTTTCGGCACATTTTACTTCTCCCACTGGAAATAACTCACCAGATAACCGCAAACAATTTCTCTATTTTCTCGCGATATCCCATCAATTTTTCTTTTTACTTTCCCATTAAGCTTTCTTCGTGGATTCCCTCTTGTCTTTACTACCATTCCAAACATAACGTAACAATAACAACGTTAGCGTACCTCGTTTTACTCTGGGGAGCGATTTTGCGAAACGTTAACGTATCTCCATTTATCGCTCCAGGGTGTTAGTGTTTTACAGTGTCGACATTTTTGTATAACTGCACTACGCAAATATTGAAAGTGGCATCTCTTTTTGTTTTTAATGTGTCCCAAAAAAAGATTCTAATAAGAACAAATACAATATAAAACAAATATTTTGCTGTAGAATTGAAACTAACCATTTGAAGTAATTACTTGATTTTTACAATCTTAATCAAATTTCTTTTTACCCATTGTTCAAAGTACACTACAAAGCAATTGATTTCTGAATCATTTCATAATTATTATTTATTCACTATTATTTATTTATCCAGAGGCTTGTTGTTGGTTAAATTGTACACTGACGGTTTCAAAATTACGATTATAATTCAAATTTAACGGCATTTTTCTATACTATAACAATATATAACACGGTTTACAAAATTAAGTGCCCACTATTGCTATCTTTTTTATTATTAGAGCTACAAAGTCGGTTAAATTTGCAAAGTGGTAGTGCCTTTCATGATGAATATCTCATTTATGAAAAAAATATAAACATTTCGAATATTTGAAAAGTGGAATACCCTGTAGTGCCAGTTAATTATAATATTTCCAAATCTGAACATATAATATTGGCTTAAAATAAAAAATAACCGAAATATTAGCATATTTAAATTCTGATTAGCTGACAAAAAATAAGTTATTTAGAGAACCGTGGTGTTGCAAGTGTGCGCAGGCACTAGAAGATCAATTTTAACATTTTAACAATTTAAATGTGCATCATAAAATGTCGAAATGCATTGAACAAAATGGTCTTTGAACGTTTAATCCAATTTGTTTTTTAAGACGGAGTTTTATTTCATAAAATAACCTAGCATTAGATAATATAGTAGAACCTTCTAATCAGCTTAACTTAACACTTAACTCGTTTCCCGAAATATTTAACGAGGTCTGGGCACAAAAAAACTGAAACCTGTCTAGTTGACAAGCTGTCAGAGGCCATGTTGTTCTTTAGCTAGCGTTACTGGTTGCAAACAAGATTTGAAATAACTAGACATGTGCATTTTAAATGACTCATCCCCATAAATTTTTCTAACCGTCGCTTCCTATTTTCAGCATTGGCAGGCTAGGTTTCTTCAAGTGTAACTATTTTAGAAATTTTTAAAGATAATATTTGTTTGAACAACGCGCATGTGTGGTATTCGGAAACACCAGACTTACCCTATAGAAATTAACATTGATAATTGATTTATTGCTTACATCAAGCAACGAACCATTATTTAATTTTACATCGATCGATTGTACCTATCACTGATCATCATTGATTTGGACAAATGCTAGTTTTATTTATGTCAAACCATCCATTCAGGCCACCCGATTTGTAATCCTTGGATTTTCCACTCCATGACTCTATAGCAGAATTACTCTACTCTACACCTGTATATACAAACTCGCTAGAAAGTTAGATGCTGTGTAAGATTTACTAGTATAATGGCAACTATTATCATTGCATGCAGCAATTTCATACATACAACTTGTAATAAAACACTTATGGAGATATGAAAAATCTCATATTAGTGAGCTACCCTGTATATACGGACTGTATTTATCAAAAGATGACTAACGAATATAACGTAGATTTATCCTGCTGCCCTATGCATGACGGAATAGAATCTGATTTTAGACAGCATACACGAAATTTGTTGATTGTGAGGTTGTGCTCCAATTATTATATGAAAATATTGTTTTAAAACTCGGTGCATGAAAGCCTTTAAAAGTAAGAATATAAAATATCTACAAGGTACTACACAGTACCCCAAATAAATTCTGAAATAACTTTCTGGTTAGAATTGTGGAATAAAACGGATATTCAGATGTTAAGCTAATTATCCACGATTTATATGAAGGTCTTTAAACACCAGATATGTTTACAAAGCTTTTCCCGAGGATGGCTAAACTTGAACTCTGAAAACTAGATGTTTATCCTGGAAGCTGGAAGGCCTGACAGCCAATAACAAAATGTAATATAATCAATTCTACAATATGTGTAACAATCACCTTAACGGGGCTAATATTAAGAAATATTAATCTGTCTTATCAAAAAGAGTCAAGTTTAATAGAAAAAAATTTATTAGTCATTTCTGGGTTACAAACGATATTTAACAAATTATGCTAATTTAAATCGATATGTGACGACGTAAACATTGAAGTAGTATATAATAATAAAGTATTATATCAACCAAATGAAAAAAAAAACTTTGTTGTATATCACTTTTATTTCATCTTCTATGATAGTGTTAATCATTTTATATTTTAAAAAATAATGGAAAATACTTAATGTAATACGTAGCCACATCTCAAACGTATTTTATTCTCCAATGTTGTTCTGATGCTAGACATTTCAAAAAATACTTGTTTCCATTACATATATTCATTTAGATAATTAAAACAACAAATTTGTTACGACGTTCCATAGACTCAGTCAATAATTTGAACTCTTTGAAAATACATTTTCATTAAACCACTGGGGCACCTCCGTAACATCGATCACCGTTATACCGGTAGATATAGTTTGTTTTCAGCAGGTTTTTTTTATTAATTCCTCACCGACAAATCTTTCTCTGGGAAAGTAATATCATGCGTACTTAAAGATTCCCCTTAAATGCTATTTTTACAGATATATGTACACTTAAATAGATAGCCAGTATTGGGATATATTTACATGGTCAGGTCCCATTTACCTCATTAGCCTCAAGGTCCGACTAATGTGATAAAAATGCTGAGTAGAACCACCGAAAATGGGTATTTTAGACGGAGTTGTCCGCCGTGTTGCATGGCAGCAGGATGTTCACCTGAAAATAATAAGCCCAATCAAGTTCACATGTATCACCGGAACAAAAACTAAATTGAAAACACTATGCTAAAATCGTATGCAAAAGCATAAAATAGAGTTGTCAACTATACAATTAATGTAAAATGAAAAATGGAGTTTTGTTTGAGGAGAACGAATGAACTACAAAATATTTGTATTGTAAAATACAGTTCATTTTTACTATTTAAATAACTCCTCTACTAACTACTAACTACCTATGTAGTTTATCTTTTCTATTGAAAACCGGTATCTAATAATATTATATTAATGTTGTGATCCTGAAGAATATTACAACAATTTTCATAAAGATTTTACATTAAAAAGTTTATATCGATAGATTCAAATCTAATTAATGTTTGGCCAAATTTACCTTTAATCAATTATATTTTTATAGGTGGGGCTGAGTTAAGATTTATTCTCATTAGCCGCTATTAATTGTGTTTCCGACTTGTATAGTTGTTGTTTTAGTTGAAAAATTATAAAAACTTATATATAAAATTATATTATAAAATAATGGCTAAGAAAAGACATACCCATTATATTTTATTCATTTTGTGTCATTTAATTGACATGTACATACATATACAAATTTCAAAATTCAAATTTCAAAAATATGAACAAATATTTTGACATAAAAACGATTTTCTTATAAATTCGGGTGTTACAAAAACTTCTAAATTTTTTTGTGTACGTTTGTCCAAAAATTTAATAAACCTATTTCAATGTTTATTGAGCCAATACTGCAATAGAGCAATACTGGATAGTAATGTTTATTGGTTGATACTGTACTTTTTGCACAACCGTTAGTTATTGAATATATTTTCGGAAATCAGTACGAATACATTCAGTGAGTGACCTGTGACGTGACAATCAGAATTGCCAAACGGAATTACAATATACCGAAAACATCACATAACTCTCAGACCTGTTATTAAAGTACCGAAAATTTTCGAAGTGGTCTTAAAGCGATACTTTCCGTACTTTTGTTAGTGCATATGGATATTTTAGAGTAGGGAGTACAAAAGGAAAACAGAATTCCACTTACACGAAAATCTCCCAAACTAGGTAAATATTTTGATTTGATTAATTTTCTTAAATACGGATCTGGTTTTTATAACCATTTATGGAAAACTGTAGAACGATATAGTTTTGGCTAGTTTAAAACCATACATTACGAATTTTATAAACTCCTGTAGTAGCAAAGGTCAACCAACTGCCGAAGAAGAATAAAGCAGAAGAACGCAATGATTCGCGACCTGTTAGTATCCCTTCTGGCGCGAATATTTAGACAGGTACCAGATTCTACCAGGGCATTAGTCTGAATTTAGACCGGGATTGAGTTGTACAACGGCGTTAGCAACTGTAACAGGCGAAATATTTCAAGCAACTGTTGAGGGGAAGAACACCGCACTGATTTTACTGAATTATTAGAAAGCGCGTGACACTCTGAGTTACCAACTTCTTACAATTTTAAATTATACAGGATTTTCCACGGAGTCAATTGCGTTAATGGAGAGTTACTTAGTTAAGGTAGATTTCAGTTCGTCGAAACTGCGCAGGTTCGGTCTCAGCGGAAACAAATTAAGAAGGGGCAATTTTAGCGCCGCTGATTTTCCCCTTGTATACTTGCAATATGACAACATGTTTACGCCATTGCCAGAGTCATCAATACGTGGATGACAGCAAGATTTCGTAATGTTTTTATTTTAACGAGTGAAAAGAGGCTAAAAATATAATTGAGGGCGATCTGCAGCGACTGGTGTTATTCTCAGAAAGACATAATTTCATGATTAGTCTCACCAAATCCACTGTTCATTTTTTCGGTAGGGGCAATCAGACTCTCAATAACACAATGAACCTGCCAATCGCGGGAGACTCCCTGCCAGTTTCTGAATGTGCTAGAGACCTGAGACTCATGCTGGACACTGACCTAAAATTTGTTTGTTTTAAACCATTTCAATTTTTCAGATGTAGTTTATGTAGTCCATGTTTGGATCAGAACGATAAAAAGAGAATCCAGAAAGTTTAAAAATCCTGTTTGAGATTCGTTTATGGCATCAGAAAATCCCTTCATATCTCGCATAAGTTAAGGGATGCAGGGTGGCTTGACATGGAACATAAGGTGGAACGCCTCAGTATTTGTCGAATCGTATCAAATATAGCTAGGAGATTTCGAGGTCTTATAATCCCACCACAACACTCTACTACATTGTTTAGAAGAAGCTTCTCTTACAACGTGTGTAGCCTGTACAATGAACTTCCCCTAATACTAAAAAAACTAAACAAACAAAGATTTAAAAGGCAACTAAAGGAACTACTGCTTAATGAAAAATAGATTCCCGTACCTCATTCTAATTGATCCTTCTTTTAATAATTAAACTCTTTAATTTTCTTGTAAAAAAATCTCTCCCCTGTTATATTAAGTTTTTTAGTTTTTAAGTTACGAGATTTAGGGGTCTGGAACTTGGATCATTTTAATGTGTTGCTTTACCTTTGAAGAAGCAAATAAATGTATTATCATTATTATTATTTAAAAAAATGGAACTCCTTATTTAACAAATTGAAATTGTTAATAGTTTCTTGGAAACAAAACGTCGTAGGTAAAATCTATGCATACGATATTTGTAGAGCGAAAGAAAATCCTATTTTCCTTTTTCTACATTCAACCGATTTCTATTTACAGACGACGACAGAAATTTAGGAACAGCGACAAGAAATTTTTAACAAGCGTCTAGTTTGCCTAGTTTGGACCTGATATAAGACATTTGAAAAAAGAAAAATTGGGACACCATGTGTGCAACGTCAAATAAGGCAAACAAAATAGCTTGCTTTGTTTGCCAGTTAATTAAATTAATCACGATATGGAAGTCAACCGAGCGGCTACAAAATATTTCTACTGGAAAATTTTATAATCGATCCACGAAATTCACTAGGTCTGCACATCGAATCGAACCTCGCATTCGACAGAATTCTTGCTCCCTTTGCTAATATTTTTATAATTTTATAAAATTTAAACATAACCTATTCAATGTGTTTAAAAAGACCTAGAATGTGCTTATTTGGTTTCATAGGTCTCAAACTATGTATTCGACAAGTATTGAATATCCGTATATAAATCATTAAATTTCACTATCGACGTCAGTAAACTTAAAAGTAAAAGTAAAAAATTCAACGCTCGTGAGAGGAAAGATGAAAAAGAGAGTTCGCTTTCAAACAATAATAAAAAGAGTCTGACGTCGTATCAGAAGAAAGGACCAACTTAAAACTAACCAAAACTAACCAAAACTATTTCCTACTAATAAAAATCAAAATATAAAAAAAGAAAAGTCAATTATAAGACAAAATTATATTTATAGAACTTCGATTGACACAGTTTTGTTTTAATTCTGTTTCAAAGAGATGGTGGTGTAAAGAAATAAACTATTGTTGACAATATTGCAATAAATATGCCCACACTTTAGATTGCGGTTATGAATTTTTGTTGTTATTGTTGTTTTGTCAACAAGATACGACATTTCTTTTTAAGGATATCACAAAGAAGAAGGCTGCTGAATGTTTTGCAGATTTGATTCTCAAAAGACCAACCCTACGTCCGGCACACAGAGAGGCGGGCAACGCCACCAATGCACCTAGGCGGCTAATAGGGAAATGGCAAAAAAAATGAAATGTCGAAACTTAAGAATGCATTACCCCAAGAGGGTACGCCGAATCGGAATGGTTTGTTGGAAATTGTTGGCTGAAAAGTCCACTAATGCACAGTCTGAAAAAGCTGTTGTCCAAACACGAAGACGAGCTAGCAAAAAACGCCAGTAAAATGTTCCAAAGCCAGTGTGAAAATTGTAAACTGGAAGCAAAGAAATGTGCTAGATGGCAAGAACTTGTCCAAAGCTACTGCTTTGGCAACTATCAAAAAATAACGGAGGAAGAGTGGAAAGCCGAAATCGTCCCAAGAGCCCTAAGTAAGAAAGACCCAATCTGGGAAGCACCCCTAGATTGTCACGTCATCATACCCTGCAACGAATCAATCGACAGCGACGACCGGGAAATAAGCAAGGCGATAACCACTCTTGGCTGTAAGAGTGACATTCTAAAACGGAAGAAATCTGCAGGAGAACTGACACAAATGCATCATAGTCTAGGGTTTTCCAACGAGAATGGCATGTTCAATAACAGCACACCATCTATTACCCAATAATCACAGGGTTTCATCTCTAGAATCACCTAATATATTTTCGGCGACTATGGAGTAGAAATCTTAAAATACCAGGGAACCCGCAGAAACGCTACGTACGCTACAACAGCAAGAGCTGAAACTGGGCGTAAATCCCAAGGACCAAAACAGGAGGCCATTCTCATTAAAAGGAATGATACTAAATATAATGAATTTCTAAAAGCGATCAAAAGCTCACTGAACCCCAATGAACTGGGAGTAGTAGTACGCAGGGTAAGAGAAACCAAAAAGAGGGATCTACTACTTATTCAGGTATCGGGACTTTTCTATCTCGATGGCCTCTAGTATAATCCTAGTCTTAAAATCAGGAATATTAGCTATTTGTTTGCAAGTACCGAAATCAATTTTATGGCCTGTCTGATGTTGGTGCTGAAACAAAGCAGATGTTGTTTGTTTGTTTCTTATGGCTAAACGATGTTCCTCGAGCCTGGCTGAAATCCTTCTGTTGGTCTGTCCCACATACGTCAGGCTGAAGAAAGTTATTCCGAGGGAAAAATCGAGTCGTTGCCCAAAATTCTACTGGCTCCCAAAGATCCATAAGGACGGGGTTCCCCTGCGTCTAATCGTAAGCGCCTTTAACTCACCATTATGCAAGCTGGAAAAACATCTGGCCAGTGCACTTCAGCCCATAGTGGAAAAGGCAGATTCCTATATTAAAAACTCAGAACATTTCTCTCAGATTTTAGGTTCTCTCAGGATGGACAAGGACGACATTATGGCAAGTTTCAATGTCAAATTCCTCTACCCGA